TGATGAATAAAAGTTTTTAAATGAATTTATAAATTAATTTAAACATTTTATAAATTTATAAATGTATTAAATGTATCTATACATTTATAGAATTTTACAATGAATTCATTTACAAATTCATTTTAAAAATTCATTTAAAATTTTATAAATTTTAAAATTTATCAATTCTTACCACTACAACTAATGCTTTTATGTACTGTTGAGGATTCCCTGTCCTGACATGAAGAAACTCTCCTATATTTTCCAATAGCTTTATAATTTTATCTTTCACATTTCTGTCAGTAATCAACCTGGAGCTGATTTTTTGGTATGGTGTAAGGTAGAAGCCCAATTTCATTTTTGTACCGTGCAGATACCCAGTTGTCTCAGCACCATTTACTGAAAAGACTGTCATTTCCCCACTGCTCTGCAGTGCCATCTCTGTCAAAATCAAGTTTCTAGGTATGTGTAAATCTATGGGTTTTCAACTCCATTCCAACAGTATCTGTCCACCCCACACCAATACCACAGTCTTTTCAATATAGCTTTATAATTCTTGACAAGAATCTGATAAGGCAAGCCCTTCACTACTAGTCTTGTCCTTCCTCAAGGGCATTTTGGCTGTTCTTACTCTCTTCTTTACCTTTTCATATGGATTTCAGAGTGGGTTTGTCAAGTTCCACTCCTCACACCCACTTTCCACACACACAAAACTAAAAGGTTGAGATATAGGCCTGGCGTGGTGGCTCACACCTGTAATCCCAGCCCTTTGGGAGGCTGAGGCAAGTGGATCATTTGAGGCCAGGAGTTCAAGACCAGCCTGGCCAACATGGTGAAACCCTATGTCTACTAAAAATAAAAAAATTAGCCAGGCATGGTGGCGCACGCTTTTAATCCCAGCTACTCGGGAAGCTGAGGTAGGAGAATCGCTTGAGCGCAGGAAGCAGAGGTGGCAGTGAGCTGAGATTGCACCTCTGAACTCCAGTTTGGGCAACAAAGCAAGACTCTGTCTCAAAAAACAAAACACTTGACTGGGCACAGTGCCTCACGCCTGTAATCCCAACACTCTGGGAGGACAAGGCGGGCAGATCATGAAGTCAGGACATTGAGACCATCTTGGCTAACATGGTGAAACCCCGTCTCTA